TTTTATCAGAGGGAGGATCACCCGCCACGTGCTCCGTGCTTTCTCACGCACCCACTCGTGGTCGCTGCCAGACGAGGGATTTGAGCAGATGTGCCCCCGCGCCACGGGAGCTGCTCCTGTGCCAGACTCGGTGGTGAAGCACGTCCTTCACATCACTACTCCTGCAATTGCCTACCTCCTGCCTGCAGGACCTGCTACATCCCGCACAACGCCCTGTGTAGCTCTGGGACCCAAGCAGGACGGTGCCTGAACGGTGCCGGCGCAGCAAGCAAAGCCTTTCCCTCCTCCAGGGCTGGGGCCACACAGCGAAACCTCACCCAGGCAGGGCTGGCTGGCGAAACACCAGAGGCTCTTGGTGCCCCGGGACTCATGGACGCCCCTTGCCTGGCTGTCCCCTCTCAGCTAACCACGCTGCCTGTTTAAAAAGCAAACGCATTTTCACCTCCAGAGCCTCCTGACAAAGTGGCAGGTCCTCCCAGTGCCCTCTGCCACCAGGGTCGGGGCCATCGCCAGCGTGAGAACGAGTGACGGGGCCGATGTCCGGCAGGAACACGCGTCTTGAGACCCTGCCTGCGGCTCTGACAAGCCCTTGGCCTCACACAAGCTCCAGTACAGCAAAGGAAAAATCAAGGGCAAAAAATATCCATGGTATTTTAATATCAAAGGATTGTTTGTAGCCTTTCTTTTGGGGGTAAAGTCCAACATTTATAAAGCTGGAAAAAAAAGACAAAGGATCAAGCTTGTGTTGATATCAAAGAGGGATTCAGTTGAGAATAGACTTTTTAAGGGAATTTTATTTACAGTATATCTACTGGGTGGGCATTTATGACCTTTAGAAAATGGATTAAAGCTTTTCTATACCCAGCCTCAGGCTGTGTGAATTATTAAAGCAACAAAATCATGAAGTTAAAGTAAACCACGTTGCAAGCAAGGTTTCTTTGGAAGGGTCAGTGAGAAGGCACCCTCAGGGAGCAGGGCCCCCTCAGCAGCCTCCTGAGCCGCGAGGGCCACCCCATACCCCGGCCCGGGGAGGCGGCCAGCTGGGGAAGGCGGACGCCTCCGCCCGCGGCCGCGGTGCTCCACGCCTGCCCCGCCGTACCGAGGGCCGCCGTCCCCCGCGGTGGTCCCTGCGCGGTCCCCACCCTCAGCCACGTGCGCCTCCCGCCTCTGCGCCGCATGCAGCGGTAGGCCGGGGGGTTGTCCCTGTTCTCCAGGCCCTCCCTGTGCAGCCTGCCAGCTATAAAAACCTCTTTACTACCAGACAGTTCCCCTGAACCTTCACAGGTCCCAATAAAACTTCATTAATTACTCAAAATAAAGAAAAAAAAAGAAGAAGAAGAAAAATGAAAGCAACGCCCCCCAGATCCCTGCGGGCTGCCTGCACCGGCTCATCTGCCCCGAGACGTAGTGTTCTCTCTGGAAAATTTCATTTCAGGTTGCTGCTCATTCCAGCCCCCATCCCGATTTAATCCCCTATTTCCAACAGCAGCCAAAGACATAAATCGGTGCTGAAGAACTGCAGATATGTTTTTTATTTCTTCACAGCAGTAAAGTGAAAATAACGAATTCCCATAATGCTATCCAGTTAAATTCCCATAATGCTATCCCATGGAAAAGGTGGCAGTGGCTGATTCGAGGGACAATCAAGAGGGAAGCCCAGGTGGGAGGAGGAATACAGGGGCAAACACTCCCTCGGCTGCCTTCGCGTTCAAACAAAGACTTAAGCCAGGAGAGGTCAATTTTTAAGAAGGGAGACGGCAGGACACCTGCAACGCGACCAATGCCTTCTGAGATATCCAGGTCTCATCATGTTGCTCATGAAGCGTAATGAAACCCAGAGCGTGTTTCCCGTTAAAACAGGGGATCACAAATAGCATCACATTCTGGAAATCCTCTCCTGGCTACTGCTCCTTGGGTAAGGGCAACGGACCAGCTAAAACCTAAGCAACTGCTGCAGCTTGAGAAAGGAGTCTGTGCTACAGGAGAAACATAATGCTCCTATTAAAATACTGAAAATCAAATAATATTACCTCTAATATGTATCGAAAATATTACACATTTGCTAATTTGAGTAAACATGGATTGAGCATGACCTTCATTTGATCGGTAATATTTTAAAGATGATTAAACACACCTCTAGGAAACAGAAATTGGCTGTTTTTTTGCAGATATGCCAGAGCCACAGGTCAGGGCCTCTCCAGTCTCCTCAAAAGCATTTTCTGAGTTCCTTTTTCCTTCATTTGGTACGGTTCCTGTACCAAAGACCACACAGTCTGTCCTGAGAGGTGCACGAAACGAGAGTGGAAAGCAAATGCCTTGCCCAGAGCTACCCAACGGGTTGCTGCCTCCTAGGTCCCGTCACTACGAGATCACGCAGCGTCACAGATTTCACAGGTCACTCATTGCACACCGAGTGTCTACACCCCCATTTTGAGACGGACGGGACACCGGCTCCTAAATACCTTCCTGAATGTGGGCAGATAAGTGCCTAAATCAACCAAAGCAACTAAATTACTCATAAATTTCAAATACGAGTTTTAAGGTAGGTAGTTCTACATTTTCTGTAATTAAATGCAAGTTGTAAATGACTTTGTAGATGTAAAAAGCTTTTCTCAGTATCAAAGGAAATTTAGCATATTGACATAATTATCCAGAAAGATGACAGATGAATCATTTCAGCATTTTGTTGAAAGTGTACATACAGTTCTGATGCCTGATAGACTGCTACGTGCCAGACTTAACCTTTCTTTAACATAAACAGAAAGGGAAGCAGCCATGAGAAGCAGCTCTCTTCAAAGCCAAAAAGGTCCTTCCCTGGGACAAGAATATTTTTTTTCTCCTTTTCGTGTTTGGAGCAGAATTAATTTTCCAGCACCAAGTGCTGCTGCTCAACAGAATAAAACCTCTTTTCTCTGGGAAGTTTACATTTGGAAGTATGAACCTTCTCCTATGAGCTTGAAAGAAATGTTAGCTGCTATTTTTTGGTAAGATTTTGAGTTAGGTTTTGGTCTGTGACAACGAGCAGGAGTCACAAGACCCTGAGAGTTCCCGTGCTCACCAGGAGCGTCTGGGGAGACTTTCCTCTGCTGTGTGCTTTACCTTTGCAGCGCTGCCCTAAGGAAGGACCTGAGCTTGTATTTAATCACTCTCCATCGTCTAAAGCAACCTCAGAAATCTGACAGAGCTCTGCTGCCAGCTTTCACCTCTTCTTGCTTGAGAGACATGGCTGCAAATATGGGTGACTACTTAAAACCACCCTCTCCCCAACTTGCCCACTCCTCGGCATTACATTTTCATTAGCCCTGATCCTGTGTGGACTTAGAACGAAGCCAGGCGGGAATTCACATGGGTAGATTGTGCCCCGAGCATGCCAGAACTGTGTAATAGATACCTCAGCGTTCATCAGTTAACTGAGGCTGCGACGAAACATCTTCATTAGCAAGCAGTGCAAATGACAGCACTATGACTAGCAATGTCCCTTCTCTTGACTCTAAGAAGAGCTGGACTCTACCGCATTGAGACTGTGGTAGGATTTTGTACTGCTACTGTTTCTCAAGACTGAAGCTACGTAGTACATTTTAAGTATTTACAAAGAAATTGTCAGTAATCGGTAAAAATGGGGGCTCTTCTGGCCAAACAGGTCTCAGATCTGCTGAGGAATTTCTGCTTTTGCAAAGTTTCCAAGCGTCCAACCAAAGCTTCCAAGCATCGAATGCAGCAGGTCAGGCTGCTCACGTGGCCATTGCCCGGTGTAATGCTGCCTCGTCAGGGCTGTAACGGGCAGAGCGAAAAAGCAAAGGACAGTATGCCTCATCTCCTGGGCCAGCTTCAGATTTTCTTACCCTCCTGGTATAAGCTTTTGATCAAAGTAAGATGGGAGAAACCAGCCAAGATGACCAGACCAGAAAGAAACGACAGAGGATATGGCTTTCCTCTGATCGCTCAGCTTGTCTTCAGTTTATTTTAGCAGCGTGTGGAGACAGGGAGGCGCTCGTGCCGTCCTCTGAACTAGTCTGGGCTATTTCACAAGTTCAACATTGCACACTTGGCACCATCTCAAAGGCCCATTTCCCTGCCCCAATACCCAGTCCTGGAACAAAGCCCCACACCACGCGACCATCACGTGAGAAGATTACGACAACCAAATTCAGCAATTTTCATGAATCGTCACCATCGTTCCTACAGCTCCTGTCCATCGGGTGCCGATGTCTCGGCTAAACAGGGGGGCACAACAACTGTTGGGGCACGGTAAAATGCAGGTGACAAAATAACCACAGAACAGTACCAGTGCAATGAAGTCTCGTGCGTGGGCAAGGACGTATGCATGTGCACACACACATGCACACCAAACTTCGTGCCTGCAGTGCAAACAAATGGTGTAAAATGCCACGACAGAAGCTGCAAATGGTTATGTACGCAGGGACTGAGTGAGAAAAAGGGAACGAGAAAGGAATGAAACTAGGAAATCCACCAGTAACTGATTTCCAGAGCTACCCAGCTTTTTGATCATCACCTCCCACCTTCTCCCACGTGCTTGGCAAAAAAACTCGTTAAAAATAAACAACAAAAGCTCTTCAGCATAACTCATTTCTGAGTGGGAAAACAGCCCAGGGCTTCAGCGAACCCCCTTGACCACGTCGTGCCAGCTCAGTCAATCGCCCCGAACAACTCCCAGCACCTTCCTGACTTACTGCCCCCCCCCGCCCCCCCATAAACCCTCTCAGGGAACAGAAAACGAAAAATATTTGCCATGAAATGGTCAGTTGTGCTGGTAGTTTAAAATACACCTGTTTCACCAAGATGCCAGGAATTAAAGCAATGCCAAATGACAATGAGGTATTTTCCTGAACACATTTCTCCTGTGTTTACTTAGCAGCCATCATCCAACAACAAAAATAGCCTATTTCAGCACCGTTACTGTTTCAGTAAACCACAAGTAGATAACAGCAGGCACCTGATAAAACATACAAGCAAACTCAAGACCAAGCATTCAAGCCTACCTTGCCAAAGCTTCCCTTCCCAATCGCCCGGAGAATCTGGAAGTGGTCAAAGTTCACTACAAGGTAAAGAAAAAAGAATTTAAATTTGTAAATGCTTTACTGAAAAGATCTTATATTTAAAAGGAAGACAAGGAGACAACTAAAGAGCATTGGTCAAGCTTTTATTAAGTCACCGCCTCCGGGGGAAGATGCAGGACAGCAGTTGTTTTTCTTTCAACAGTTTCTTTGTGTCTGCTTGAAGTAGCTAGCGAACAGGTTGAATTAGGTTACTGAATAAGTGGTTAAGCACCAGCTAAAATACAGCTTCGAGCTGTGTCGATACAGGAGGGGTCTCACAGAAATGCCGTAAGCGCGTGAGCAAACTCGGAGCGCGGCAGAGGAGAACGCCAGTGAGCCACGCGCCCCACGCCGCGGGCAGCCGCTGCTCTCCCCGCGCCTGGCTCCGTGCTGCTGGTGCATATTCAAGACCCAGTCGGGCTGGTGTTTGTGCTTTCCAAACAACAACATTTCGAGGAGGGCGACTGACCTCCACTCTCCTCGTGTGCAAACCCATCTGCACCAGATCTGTTACTTTTTCCAGAGCCACGGTGAGGAGTAATGACAAAAAAGGACAGTGCAGCTGTAACACTTCAGCTACTGCCTTGACCAGCAGCCACTACAAACAAGATTATTTTTACTAAACTATTGCTGTGATCTAATCTAATATCAGTCCTAAATAAATAAAGAAGATAGGTCTGTTTATACCAATAATGAGATAATCCCCATTGCCATATAGTTGGAGTCCCTCACAGACAAACGAATAAACACTGTCACAAAAGCCAATGCAAAGGACACAGCATTACTCCCACTTCACAAATCGTCTCTTTGTACCCCAGTTCCTTAATGACCTCACAGCTCAGTAAGCTGCAGGGCTGCAGACGAAGCCCACGTGCGCCCATGCATGCACATCACGTGCCCACGCTGCACATCAGCGCTGGGCGCGGCACGAGCACACACTTTAACTTCTGGTCAGCCCTGAAGTGGTCGGGCAGGTGGACTGGATGATCGTCGCGGGTCCCTTCCAACTGAACTACTCTGTTCTATTCTAAGCCCAGTGTGCTCTCAAAGTGGCCGCATGTGTTCAGGAGGAGCTCGCCGGTGGACCAAGCCGCACCCTGCTCTGCTCCACCCATCAGCCCTTGCCATTTCTACCATGGGACCCTGACCACGCAAGGGGACCCTCAGCATCTCCTCCCCAGAAAGCTCTGAAGACTGGACAAAGAGAAATGCTTGGCACGGGCTTGGGGATTTGCAGCATGAATGATGCATGAGATGGTCAACAGAGAGCAGTGAACCCATGTTTGACTGACGGTGGAGACCAAAATCACACAGGAAGAGTGGGAGCAAAGAATTCACTATAAATATTCTGAGTCCCACTCCCAGATCTTAAATAAATGCACATCTGTCATCTCTGAGGATGAATCAAAAGCCCACGCATGCCCGTGGAGTTCCTATTACCCTTTTGTGCTAGGCTTATATCCAAAATATTGTTATTGTCGCTTTTGTGGGACATTTTCTGCAGGAGAACTCGGAAAACTTTGCCAAATGAAATTGAAAACAGAGTCTGGGCCAGCTCCTACCACGTATCTCCCCCCACTCCATAAGCAACGCTGAAGGGCAGATGCACCGTCTCCTCCCCTGGGATGCTCCAGGACACTCCGTGAAAGACCACGTGGGGAAACCAGCGCTGGCCCGTCCTTCTGACGGCCTCCCGCACCTCCGGAGGAAAAGCTCAGCTACACGGGTGGTGTGTCATGTCCTTATCGCTCCCCTTCTCGGTGGGTGAACAGCTTTCTTTTAGTGGGACTTGACAGGTCTTGGGCTGAGAAGCCATGAGGTATTGGCAAGGACGCAGGTAACGCCTGGAGCCAGTGGCCGGCTCGTCCGAGATGCTGCAGGAGCTGCAACCTGGTCGCCTGCTCCCTCCTGTCTGACAAACCCCAGCCCTGCAGGGAGCAATCTGCAGCCACAGGCTGCTGATTTTATTGAGTTTTTTCCGACCACCCCTATTAGAGAGCCTGCAGTGAGCGATGGGTAACCACAGCTACATCTTGTTCATAAATATTCTTTCTGAAATCCAAAACGTTAGCACACACAATGCTGAAGCATTTGGGGCAATGGATCCAATTTTTTTCACGTGCAAGCAAGTCCATTAATTGAACTCCGGTCACTACGAAATACTCAAAGAGGAAACCCAGCTATAGCGAGCACCTTCAAAGCACAGCGTTTTCTTGGCAATTAAACCATGTGCAAGTGCTCACGATCTGCATTCACTCCAGGAGGACAGTTTTTGACAATTCATTATAACGTCTGGAATATTGTAAAAAATCATTGCCACTGAGAAAACAAAACCAAAAGTGTCATTTCCATGTATCCATGACTACAACTGATCTAGAAAGCATGCTCCAGTCAGCAGTCAAGCAACAAATCTAGATGTGAATATTCACCAGGCCCTTGAACCTATCAGCAAAGATGTCACTTTTAATAAATTAAATACACAGTTCTGCTGATTTGAAGTTCAGATGATGTTAGATGAACAGGCACTGACTATTTTTTTTCAGTTTCATTGTCTTCTTCAGGAATTAGTAAGCAATCCCGTTAAAGAAAAAGCAAATCTCAACGTTTGAGGAAGAAAATCATAGTAGCAGCATGTTGCTTTTTGTGCGCAACACACTGGATTTCTAAAAATGAGAACATATCACTACAGAATATGTGATTATCCCTAAAATAGAAATCCTGAACCTGCCTGGAACAATTACGTATGCTCCAGAGACTCCACTTTCTGTGAGCTGACAAGAGAAAGCTGTCTTTCACCCGCAACTAGAAGAGCTGATTATTGGGGGGTGACTGGTACGAGCCTGAGTCACAGATGCCAGCAGAGGATTTCATGACACACGCTCCCAGCCAGCGGGAGATGACAGCTGTTGCCTCTTCACAGGACCATACTCACCCACGACTTTGACTTCAGCGTGGCACAGTTTTGACAGTCACAATCTGTAAGTACAGAAATGGTTTTGGCTTGAGGTTGAACCAGAGGAACCTGTCAGAGGGAGAGAGGGACCTGAAAACCTGGGATGCTTTAGGAAGCATTTCTTTACGGAGAGGATGGTCAAACACTGGAACAGGCTTCCTGGGGAGGTGGTCGATGCCCCATGCCTGTCAGGGTTTAAGAGGCATTTGGACGATGCCCTTAATAACGTGCTTTAACTTTTGGTCAGCTCTGAAGTGGTCAGGCAGTTGGACTAGATGATCGCTGTAGGTCCCTTCCAACTGAAATAGTCTATTCTACTCTACTTCTATTCTATTCTATTCTATTCTATTCTATTCTATTCTATTCTATTCTATTCTATTCTATTCTATTCTATTCTATTCTATTCTATTCTATTCTATTCTATTCTATTCTATTCTATTCTATTCTATTCTATTCTATTCTATTCTATTCTATTCTATTCTATTCTATTCTATTCTATTCTATTCTATTCTATTCCATTCCATTCCATTCCATTCCATTCCATTCCATTCCATTCCATTCCATTCTATTCTGTTCTATTCTGTTCTGTTCTAAAACCATTTGCAATGTACAAATGCAAGGGAATGTGGCGCTGTGGCGCAAAGACGCTGACTTGTTGGTCGCACCACAGTCCAATGCCATCTGTTGTGTTGAAATGCCCCAATGGGTATTTTGTTAGCTCCTCATGAAAAAAATACGCTAATCATTCCTATTGACTCCTCTAACAGCTCGTTATCGATATAGCACCTTTGCAGGTAAGTGGAACTGCAGATATAAGATGTTGGTATTTGCCACAAGAGAGACATGCCTCTTCCTGGCATCAAGTGACAAACCATGAATCACAAATAAAGATAAATACCGTGACCTGGATTTGCTTGGTTCGGCGTGGTTTTGTTCTCAGTCTCCAGTAACGCATGAAAAGCAGGATGGCAGGGTTTCACGCGCCTGTTGGACCTCACCAAACCTCACGCAGCCCAGTCCAGCCCACTTCACAAGAGAGTGCCAGGTGCTGCACTGACATCTCTATAATTAAGATTTCATTGTAGTCACAAAATGTACTGTGTGATAAAGCAGGCTGGATGCACAGCTTCTATTTTCCAGTGAAATAAAGAGAATGAAGAATATGTTTCTCTGCAAAAATTCTTTATACAGAAGGACAAGTATGCCTCAATATAAGATGCAAAAAAATGAGGTTTTTCTCTTTACTATCTTAAAATTATGAATGTTTTCATTATTTTTGCTGTTTATTCTGCATTTATTTACAAGATATCTAAAAGTACGGCAAGATAAAACTACCATAAAACTTCAGATACACAGTGCACACCCAGTGAGGGTTCAACATCAGGACCTGGTATTCATGTCCACCAGTAGGAAAACTTTGGATGCAGTTAGCAAACTGGGGAAAACAGAAAATTACAAATCACATTTTAAGGATCGAGTCAACCTTTCACTATTTATCTGCGAGTTTTCCAGCTCCAGGAATGACTCTCTACAACACTAAAGACCTAAGAAATTCTTTTTTGAGTCTTGTAACAGCAAATTTGTAGGGCTAGTATGGCATGATCAACTTCCTCTTTCTATCAATGTATTTCTATATGTTGGCATAATTAATAGCATTTGTCTACCTATTATATTACTGCAATCTAGCTTTGGAAGAAAGCACCACGGTAATTGATGTAGAAACATTAATATGTGGCCACAGTAACCACAAGCTTGCTGCCACAAAATGCCAGGAGCTTCAGCTCACAGAAGAGAGTTACAGCTTAGACTTAAAAGTCATTGCACACATCGATTGCAGCCAGAAAGGAGAGGCCACTTCTGCAAACCACGAGGCGGTGGATGGACAGGGAGGGCGGCCAGCCAGGCCATGCCGGGAGGGGGACGGCCTGCGGGGAGCATGGGGCACAGGGGCACTGCAACGGGGAAGATGGTCGTGAAAGTCAGAGGATGACGAAAAGGAACCACAGAAGGACTAACAGACGGCGGGATTGGGAGCAGCTTTTAGAG